ATAAAAACTTTTTAACATTTAAAGTATAAAATATCTTAATTTTCACTTTTTCTCCTTCAATTTAATCCTTAAATTTAATTTTATAAAGGAAAAAATAAAACTTGCAAAAACTCAAAAATAAAAGTTCCGTCAAAGTCAAACACCCCAAATTCTCAGGTTCAAAACCTCCATCTAAATACGGTTGCTGCTCTTCCAAAGCTATTCCCCTTTCCTCTCCTCCCATTAGAATTCAAATTGTGTTTGCAATCGTGTTTCTCTACGTCTGCACTTGCATACATAATGACTGAGGTCGTTTTCACCCTCCTCGTTGGCCCTGTTATTGACCAGGCACTCTATAAAGTCGCTTCACTGCTCGGCAGAAGTCTCAGAGAATTCTGGTATTCAGGGGATTTGAAGGCGGAGCTGGAGACGCTGCAGGAGAGGCTCATATTGGTGAAACCTGTGCTCGAAAATGTAGATCAAAGTGATGAAGGCACAATCGGTTGGCTGCAGAGGATCCAAGATGCAGCTGATGATCTGCGGGTTCTGGAGGATGAGCATGCATATGGAGCTCACCGGCAGAAAGGTCGGATTCAAAGCCAATTCAAGAAACAGGTGCACCATTTCCTTTTTCGCTCCAGATCCATGCTTAGCAAAATTAAGGAGATTAATATGTCTTTCAATAGAATTGTACTAGAATCAAATTGTATTAAACTGATAAATCACAGCCAAAATCGTGAAGCTGATGATTCATTTGATGATTTTGAAGTTTTGGGAAGGGATGCTGATGTCTTAAAATTTGAAAGTTTGCTGGATGAGTTGAGCCAGAAACATCACCTCTCTGGCCTTTCCATAGTGGGCATGCCAGGTGTTGGAAAGACAGCAGTAGCTACATCAATATGTGTGAGGGCAAGGGAAAATCACCCCTCCAGTCTGGTGGCCTGGGTGCCGGTACGTAAGGATCTTAAAGAAGCGATGATTTTAGGACAGATGTTGCAATGTCTTGATAGCCATGCCGCTGGAATGACAGAGATCGGTCAAATACTTGGTCATCTTAAACCAATGTTAGAAAATAAAAAAATTCTTAAAATTCTTCTCATCCTTGATGGTTTATGGAATGAAGAACATGCTCGGGGGTTGAAAGAGTTCATCTGTCGTCTGCCACGATGGTTCGCAACTGCTAGGATCTCTGTTGTCATAACAACTAGTAATAAAGAGGTAGCTTCAATAATGGGCACAGAACCAATTCCTTTGCATGAGCATGAATTGCAAAAGCTATCAGACGATGACTGCTGGTTGATAATGGAGGAGAATGTTCTCAGATCGTCCAACAGAACTTCAATACAACATCATCCACAGTTGTTGTCTATTGGAAAAGATATTGCAAAACAGTGTGGCGGTTTGCCATTAGTTGCAGCTGTCTTTGGCAAACATTTGGGCGCTCATATTGAGGTAGATAACTGGTCAGCTATCAGAGATAATAAAGCATGGCATGCAGGACATAGAAAGAAGATTCTTTCTCAACTGAAAAAGAGTTATGATCACTTGCCTCTGCATTTGAGAAGATGCTTTTCTTTCTGTTCAATTTTTCCAAAAGAAAAAATTGTTAAAATTAGCAGAGACGAATTAGTTCAGTGTTGGATGGCTAATGGGTTTCTTTCCAAATCTAATGACAGCAGATCTGATGAAGAAGAAGATGTTGGCAACAAGTACGTCAATGATTTGGTATCGAATTACTTATTGGAAGTCGTGGATATGGATGAGTGTGGGAATATAAAGTTTTGCAAGATGCATGATGAGGTGCATAATCTTGCATTGCTTTCAGCAAAACATGAAATATTAATTTGGCCGGATGCCCAAACTGTTGAGAAGAGTGTTCGGCATATGAGGGTTGAGTCTGATGAAAACCTTCGAGCTATCCCAAAAGGTGTTTCTGAAAGGTTGCGCTCTTTGTTCTTGGATGTCGATGTTTTGCACATGATGCCTAAGAAGCCCAGAAGTTTGCAATCTTTCAAGCTAGAAGCTGCTGCTGCAAATGAGTTGCCATCTTCTCTTGGCAGATTGAAATATTACATGAAATATCTTGACATATCAGAAAGTGGAATTAAAAGGCTACCAAAATCTGTGACCAAGTTCTACAATTTGCAGACTTTAAGATTCACGGACTGCAAGTCATTGGAAAGGCTCCCAAGTGGTATTGAAAATCTAGTCAGCTTGAGGCATATTTATTTTGATGATGAAAGGCATGTGCCAAGTAGCATTGGGAAATTAGCTTCTCTTCGGACTTTACCACTATTTGTTGTGGGCAGAGAAAAGGGTCGGAGAATTGAAGAGCTTAACTCTTTGAACCAACTCAGCGGTAAACTGAAAATTTGCAAGCTTGAGCTAGCATCTCAATCAGATGCTACTAAAGCAAAACTTAAAGATAAAGGAGAATTGATTGAGTTGCAATTTGTATGGAGTGAAAACAGAGCCAACAATCCTGAAGATATGGATGTTCTAGAAGGTCTTCAACCTCCCTCAACATTGAAAAGCTTAACCATTGAAAATTATAGGGGAGGTAACTGCCCTTCATGGATGGAGAATTTGGAACAGCTTGTGGAGTTGAAATTGATTGATTGTGATGAATGTGGTAATATTTCATGCCTTGAACGCTTACCTGAGCTTAAGGTTCTCAATATAAAGGCAATGCATAATGTGAGTAGGATAGGCAGAATGTCTTATCATCAAAGCAGCAGCCAAGGTGAAGGAGAATCAATCCTACCAGTTCTAGCTTTGAGAAAACTAACATTAAGTAAGATGACAAAGCTGGAGGGATGCGAAACAACACAAGGCATGGTTGTGTTTTCTTGCCTTGAGGAGTTGCACATTGGGGATTGCCCGGAGCTCAAAACATGGTG